GAGGCGGCTGCGGGGCCTCCCCCGATGGAGGGGGCTGAGCTCCGACGGTCACCGTGTGGCGATTGCCATGAAGTGCCGCTGCCTGCGAGGGCCGCGTAACGACGGCCCCGTTAGCCGCCTTTTTGAAAGGCACTTCTTCTAGTTGCAGGAAGTGTCACTCCTGAAAGCAAAGGACAAGAAAAAAGAACCTCTTTATAAATGCTCCCCCTGGTGCTGGTTGCAAAACCCCGTTCTTTAAAGCCTCTCGCCTAAATGTCTAGTAGCTTCTTTAATTTACTTTTTTTTTTTTTTTTTCTGCAGGATGTTTATCTACACATTTATCTGACATCCTCCGTTCCTTTTCTGGTCGTAGCAAGAACCTTACCAACTCCGGCAGCTCTCTCCTGAGCTAACCCTCGGTTTCCCTGCAGCCGCTTGGGATGTTTCCCCGTTCTCTCTCCCCATGACTTAGCTGTGCTTGTCAATTTTCACGTCCCTGATAATACAAACTGTGCTGCAGATGTCATCCTCCTTCAGTGGTGCGCCCATTTCCCTTTCACACATTTCTGTATCTCTTCTGCTAAGTGTGAAATCAAAGGTTAAGTCTTGTAAGATCTTGCAAGTCCCGCTCAGCTCCTTTTAACCTTATTGAGGCTGTCTGGAACTGTGGGAGCTCACATCTGACTACAAGACAGGGACCTTGGGCAGGTAAACTTCAGGGTCAAAATCATCACATGCATATCATGGGAATGAATTCAGACTTGTAACCAGTGCAGCAGAGTGCTGCTGTCTAGATGTGGACCCCTGAACTGAATTTTCACTTTCATTAGTATTGTTTCACTTTCTGTGTTCTGTCAAAGCTTATTTTCTCCTCTAAAAAGAGCTCAAATAAGTAGCCAACATTTTTAATTTCCAGTAATTTTGTTATGAAAGGTATTTATTTATGAAAGGGTTCTAGTGAAAAGGGGAGCAATGCCATAAAATAAATGGTATTCTTTCATTTAAAAAAATAAACAGTAAAGCATTGCCCTTATGCGGAAATAGTGGATAAACTTGATGAATTATTATTGTCACCAAATCTGAATGTGTGTGCATCTGTTTATGTTTATAAATATATGGAAGTGGGGACTAATCCTCTTCTTAATGAAACAGAAAACAAGCTTCCTGCCGGCTTCAGCAGCAATAGCTTCTCCTGGGTCTGGCAGAACTTAGTTTGCTGAAACTGTCAGGATGGAAGTTTTGAGGCTTTTTACGTTAGTCAGCGTATGCTTTTAAAAATAGTCCTTCAGAAATTTACTTCAGCTTTGCACTGTATTGCAGCTATTTATTTTTCCCCCTATTATTTTCAGAAATGTTGAGTGATAGTAACGGTAGACCATGTTCTAGGATATTTATTTCTTAGCTTGATACCAGTTTCTTACGGGATCAGAGGAATATCAGTTACCATTGAGAAAACAATGCTTTCATGTCTCATATCAAGTGGTTAAAACAAGTGACCAGGAGTACCACTGGGTCATGAACGGGTTGTATTTGTTCCCATGTAACAGAATTAATTGATACCTGTCATTTCAAACTTTGAAAATCAAGATCAAAACTATAAACACAAAAATATTTCAGTCATCTCTGAAATTAGTTCTTTACAAAGCTGTTGGAAAAATCATGAAGAGTTTAGCACTTTTTCAGTTCACTAGCATTTATGTGAGTTTTAAATAAATAGTTGTTACCTGTATGACATTGTCAAGGGTTGAATAATGTAGATCATGTTTTAAAATGTATGAGAATTGTTTTGAGGCTTACATGTTTCTTCAATTAAAAGGTGCTTATTTAAATATATAAACCACACTTTCAATATTACCTTAAATCTTGTTAATAATATTTCTTTTCATTTACTAACTATGAAGAATTGTGGAAAGGATGAGTTTGATAAATAGAAGACTTTTGGTTTGCTTTTCAACCTGCATATAAAGTGATGTTGAACTTTTTTTTTAGTGAAATGTAAAAGGCACATTGTGTGTTGTTGTGCAAATTAGTATAAGTGTCTGCCTTTCCCTA